CCCCCCCCCCTCCCGGATGGCAGCCTGCGGCAAGTGCAGCCGGGCTGATGGCCGAGTGCTGTGATGTGCCTGGTGCAAGCACTCAGGGCACTCCAAGACAGGACTGCTTTGCTGTCCCTCATTGAGGTAGACAAGCAAGCGGGGAACCCTGAGAACTGTCTGTCCGGGGTGGGGGTCGGGTCCCTTTAAGCACAGCCCTCAGCTTGCCTGAGGCAGCAGCTCCCTGCTCTAAGTCCTAACCTGATGCCCTGCCGGCACCTGTTCCGGCCAGCCTTAACTTCAGTTCAGGGTCCACTCAATGTGGACATGCTATTTCGAATTAGCAAAACACTAATTTGAATTAGTTTTTAGGTCTAGATGCACTAGTTCGAATTAGCTTAGTTCGAATTAGCTTAGTTCGAATTAACTAATTCGAATTGTTAGTTTGAATTAGTGCTGTAGTGTAGACATATCCTAAATGTGCAGGTTAGCTGTTTGATTTCTCTGGTCTGCTTTAGTTGTCCTGCCCATGTTTCCTATGGGACAGCTGATGAGAGGGTGGTGTGTTACAAGTTTTTCAGACCAATTTTTCTGCAACAACGAGCCTCTAAAAGACACTAGAACAATGCACTGCTGTTTCCAATCTTTGCATAGATCTCTCCTGTCTAAATAGACAAAGAACTAGCTTCAACTTAGACAGGTGAGGGCAACACATGTGAATACCCTGACAAAAACTGAAATGACTAGAGTGGTATCTCATTCTTCGTCAAATGGATAAGAAGTGTTAAGCAGTCAGTGTGCCTGTCACAGTTGTAGCAGTGCTGAATTTAAGGCTTTTGTGACAGAAAACAAAGCAAAGTGGATACTTTGCAATCCTAACTGGGTCTGTAAAACTGTGGTAGAAGCTTCAAGATTTGTTACAAAGTATCACTGAGAACAAGAGCTTAACGGGGCTACGTCTTGACTGCAAGCCTCTTTCGAAAGAGAGAGTCTAGACTTCAACCAGTACTTTAAAAAAAGCAAGCTGCTTTTTTGAAAGATATCAGAGGGGTAGCCGTGTTAGTCTGAATCTGCAAAAGCGACTAGGAGTCCTGTGGCACCTTATAGACTAACTGAAGTGTAGGAGCATAAGCTTCCGTGGGCAAAGACCCACTTCGTCAGATGCATCTGACGAAGTGGGTCTTTGCCCACGGAAGCTTATGCTCCTACACTTCAGTTAGTCTATAAGGTGCCACAGGACTCCTAGTCGCTTTTGCAGATTCAGACTAACACGGCTACCCCTCTGATATCTTTCAAAAAAGCAGCTTGCTTTTTTGCTTTTTTTTGAAAGAGAGCACCCAGGCAGTCTGTATGCCCTTTTTCAAAAAAGCATAGTTTGCATTACATAGCACCTTTTTTCAAAAGAGAACTTTCGAAATAAGGCGTTCTTCCTCATAAATGAGGTTTTCCACGGTCTAGATGCAGGTAAAGTTTTTTTGAAAAAAGGCCACTTTTTTTGCGAAAAAACTCTGTAGTCTAGATACACCCTGGGATACTAATTGGGATTAGACTTTTACATAGATAGAATATCCAAAATTGCATTAATATGCAAACAAAGTGTTGGAAGGGATAGAAACATACCTGCTTCAATGAAAATGCCAACTTCTAGCTATTGGGGGTTTAGGAGGAGACTCTGAATGGAGAAATTATTGTGAGAGCATTCTTTCTCCATTTCAGTAGTTCTGCTCCAGGAAAAACCCTGAAGAACAGAGGTAGCAGCAAATATATAATATGCACAAGTACATATTATACCAGTGTTTCTTAAAGTGGTCTGCGAAACCACTTTGAGAAAGTACTAACTGGCCGTGCTGGTATGTTTATTTACTGGTGCTGCGGCTATGGAGACTTGCGGCTCCCATTGGCTCCAGTTTGCCATTTGCAGCTAAGGGAAGCTGCAGGAAGCAGTGGCCAAGCCCACACCACTTCCTGCAGCTCTCCTTGGCTGCAAATGGTGAACTGGAGCCAATGGAAGCTGCAAAGCTCCATGGCCGTGGTGCGAGTAAATAAACACACCAGTGCAGCCAATTAGCAGGTTTCTCAAAGTGGTTTTGCTGACCACTTTGAGAGACTCTGTATTATGCCAAGTTATGACTTTGAACTAGTTTTAATAAAATAACATACATCCTTCACCTAAATCATTTCAAAAGGCATTCATCATCACTACTTTCAAACACTGCCATCTCTTTTGGTGCAGGGTGTGATGAAAGCCATTGGTACTTCCTACAGTGCAATTCTACTTTGTGAATTTTCCAAATGCATCTCGACACATTTTGTTACTGGAACGTATTTCTTTAGAATCTTGGAAACTAGAACTGGAAGGGACTTCAAGAGGTCGAGTCCAGTTACCTGAACTCATGGCAGGACCCAGTACCTTTAATTACTGCAGTTCATTGTTCATATTAATTTTGCCATATACATGTAATAAAATGCTACACGTTTTCATCCTAAGAGAATCCCAGAGTGCTTTACAAACATACATAAGACTGAAATCTCTACTCATTTTAATCAGACCATATCTGGAACAAATCCATTGAATTCAGAATCTGGTCCACAGAGCACTGGTGGAATGCAGCCATGGGGGGATGGGGCGGGAAGAAGTGTCTATATACCTCAGAACTGTGAAAAGGATCCCGCTGAAAGGCATTCGTTATTAACACTACATTTTCCCATCTCACTAGGTTTGCCTTTTTTCTTACTTTGTTTTGGAGCTTCTTGGTAGTCTAACCTTGTCTTCATCTCTCTCTCTCCTCCTCCACCCCAGTGTCTATCAACTTGTTGTCAAGGAAGAGAGGTTGCAGAAAGCACGGAGGGCTGCAGACATCATTGAGTGCTTCTCTGTCCCGGTGAGCTACAAGAATGCTTCCAGCTTTGACTCACCCCATTACTTTGCGGCCGAGCTGAAGCCCATCAACCTTCTCGTCACGCAGCCCTTTACAGTGGGCGACAACAAGACCTACAATGGCTATTGGAATGCTCCTCTCTCACCACTGAAAAGCTACAGCATCTACTTCCAGGCTCTCAGCAAAGCAAATGGAGTAAGTGCAGCAAGAACTGATACTGGTTTTGTGTACATAGGGCCACCTCTATCTCTTCACATCTGAAAAGTTCACACTTTTTTCCTTAGAAAGCCCAAGGGAAATGAAACACCACTACTGATCCTCTGCTTTGGCCTCTGATGCATTGTTCCACTGAAAAATGCAGAAGAACATTATGTTGTACATGGCGCATCTGGCATTACCAGAGTTGTGTGTTACTGAAATACCCCAGACACAGGGAGCTAGTTATATTTCCTGCAATATGTTCCTTTCGATGGTGCATTATTTCTCTTTAAGTTACACTAACTCCAGGGAAGGACCTTAATGTCCCTTTATAGGACAGAGCCTCTATTTCCAGATTATCTTCACTTCCAAATTTGTCATTCCTGGGGGAGAAGTTATGAAACAAGAAAAATACACAAATCTAGACAAGAGGACTAGTCTCTAGTCTTCTGGCTATATCCTAGTTCAGCAGTTACAGCTGGGATTTTCAGCTGAAGTGAAATTTAAGAGGCATCTTAGGCTTTCATTATGAATTAAGTGCCTTATTCTCCTGCAGCCTTTAGAAAAGCTCAAGCTATGGCTAGAAATATTAATCTGTGTTGTGGAAAGAGGTTGAGAATATTCTTTACTATTCCCAGCTCCCAAGCGATACCCTTGCCGTGTCAAAATATTATCCATATCATTGGAACAAGAGATGGAACATTTTATCCTCCACCTTATTAGCAATTTTACTGCATTCTGCCATTGTCCAAGGTATTCTTAGTACTTTCAGAAGTACTCTATTTAGTCCTCCTTTCCATTAATAAATTCATGTAAGTATTTCCTCTGAAAGGGCAAAACAGTACTTTCTCCCAAACCATATTGCAAAGATAAACTACCTACATAGGATATGTCTACACTACACAGTTTTTCATGAAAAAACATCAATTACAGCCACACTGCAATCGTGTTCTTTCAAAATTAAATTGAAAGATCAGAGGGTTTTTTCCGGCATTGGTAATCCTCTTTCTTGAGGAAGAAGTCTTTTTCCGAAAGAGCTCTTTTGGAAAAAGGCATGTGTGGACGAGGAAGAGAGATTTCTTTTGAAAGAAGAGGCCTCCAGGAAATAACACAGATGCCCTGGTGGCCACTCCATCCAAAGTAATCACAATCCTATAGTTCCTGTCTCCTAACCCCTCTTAAAGCTACTGGACCCCTGAACAAGCCTTGTGGAAGGAAGCCGGCCTGAGAGCAGCACCCTGACTGCGTGGCTCTCCCTGCCACAGGCATTGCCACCCATGGCCCAGCCTCAAGCCCCTGCACCCCGAGACCCTCCTGGTCCTCACAGGGAGTAGCCCCAGGGGTCCCAAGACCCACCCAGAGGGACCAAGAGGCAGGTACCCTCCTGGTCCGGAGCTTAGATCCTCTCCCTCCTCAAACTGTGGGGCGAGGAGGAGACATTACAGGATCTCTGCTCCAAGAGGTGTAACACCGATAATTTTGAGCACGTGGCCGAGTCCCTGGGAGCATGGACATGCACCCTGGACCTTGGAACACATCCAGAGTAAGGTGAAAGGACTCTCAGTGATACGTGAGAACCACAGAGCGCAGCTTGCGCTCCAGGGCAAGACCCCACACCTACCCCTATTACCAGGAGCTGCACCAATTCCTGGGGGGGGCTGGGGAAACATCTTCCCCACCCATCGTCATGGATTCCGGCCTTGACACGCCTGTCAGAGGTCACAGCAGAGGAGGAGGACCAGGGACAGCTGCCGGAGGAGGAGGCAGACGATGTGGCCACTGTCACGCTCTCATTAGAACCTGTTCCTGTGAGCGTGGACATCTCCCAGGCCTCCTCTGACACCGGGGAGGGATCTTCAGGTGAGTGCCACATTCGGGTCCAGGTCTCCCAGGCAGATGACCCTCCACAGCACGATGGAGTGGATGGCCCTCACAACCTGCAGAAGGAGACAAACAAACACAAAACAGAGAACGAGAGAGGGAGTGCCTGAGCCCTTGGGAGGTGCCCGCCCCCCTCCCATTCCCTCTCTCCCCCTAGAAGCCACCCCCTATGAAGCCACTTCCATCCCCCAGCAGCAGGGCTGTGTGAGGATGGGATGGCACAACCCCCCCGGGTACAAGGCTTTCCTTCTACCCGTACTCCCCCACACATATCCTCCCTCAACCCCTCTTTCCCAAGGGTCCCCCTTATGCAGGACTCCCTTCCCCAGTAGGGACTGCAGCCCAAGAGTGCCCTATCTCCATGAGGAGGGCCCCGATGGTGGACTTCCTCATGCTGAACTGGTTCCCCACTGGCCGGTAGCTGTCTGGTGGGGCGAGCTTCCAGAGGGCTATTGCGACCCGTTTCTTTAGGGGGATGGCGGGCTGCAGGTGAGTGTCGCATCATCGGAGGGCAGGGACGAGCCAGGTGCACAGGTCCAAAAAGGCCTTCCACATGTGGAAGTTTTGGAGCCACTGCTGGTCGTCCCACCAGTCAGAACTGATGTCCAGCCTCCAGATATGCATCTCTGTGGGTTGCGGTTGTAAGGGTGTTGCTCCCACACCCATGGAGAGGATCCCCAGAATGAGGTCAGGGTTGAACTCAACCAGGAAGGCAGCCGGCAGAAAGTGCTGCAAAAACTGAGAAAAGCACCAAGAGAAAAGCGGTGGCATCCAAAAAGCTGGGCGACCACAGCAGACACTTCAAGAGCTTTGCTGTCCCTCCAAGAGGTAGGCAAGCACACAGCAGAAGCAGAGAAACAGCTGTTCATGGGGGTCCCTTTAAGTGCGTGTCTCTGCTAGGCTCCAGCACCAGCACTCAAAAGCAACTGGTGATCTAAAGCCCTGCCTGAAGTGGTTCCGGGTGGTCTTTTCTGCAAGATAGTGTCCAATCAATCTGGATGCTCTGTTTCGAAAAAGCAGATGATTTTTTCAATCCACTCATCCAGTGTGGACACTCTCTTTCAGAAGAAGTTTTTTCTGAAGATCTCTTCTGGAAAAGCTTCTTCTGAAAGAAGCCTGCAGTCTAGACTTAGTCTTAAGCTTTACATACCACTTCAGACTCCACAGTGACGCTGTAACCCCATCACACTGAAAACATATCTACAGTCACACAGTGTTGGGCTTGATTTAATAGACTAGCAAAGCTAATAAGCATTTAAAATGTTCTAGGTTTACTGCCAGCATTTATCAGGATTCCCGTTGCAAGGTACCTGCACCATAACTTATGAGCAACAAACCTCTTGGTTTCCTCACCAGCTAATGTTTTTCTCCTTTCAACGTTATTCATGTAATTCAGTATTAGATTTGCCTTTAGACAGAAAAGAGCAAAGTGCATGTACATGTTTGTGTCTAGTTAGTTACCCTTTGCATGTTAATTGATTGCTTGTGAATGGATCCCCAGTGAAGGAAAAACTGTATTTTCTCAAGTGCAAAATAATATGCCATAAATAGACAATATGAATGGAAATGCAGATTTCACCTGGCATGCTGGAGCAATGTGTGGTTTGTGAGGTTTTATTTCCTGAAATTCTGCAACAGGAAGACTTCTTATGCTCTGTATACTCAGTTTACAAACCAGTGCAGGGACATGTGGAGTCTGACTACTACTGTGTCACCGGGCTTATTTTGCAACTTGTCAGTTACAGGAAGAAATATATGGGCTGCAGGTGGTACTTACTCACTTAATGAGTCTGGATTTTTTTAGGTCCAAATATTCAAAAGGTCTATCTTAAAATACATGTAGGACCATTCTGCATATGTGAAATACACTTGCATACACAGCAAGTAATCGTGATGTAAATTCTTCATGAAGCATGAAGATAATTGCCTCTTGCATTCATACAATTTATTTTATACAGCAGGTGCATGTGTGTTTTCAGAATGCAATTTAAGTGCTGAGCATAGAAAAAATGTCCAATAAGTATTGTGTGATAGACTGCCCTCTGCTGTGTACAGATCCAGAAGCAGAATTGAATCTCCAGGTGAATATCCGTATTATTCCTTGTGTCAGGACAAAGTACTTTGTGCCAGTTTTTAAAACATGGCCTGTATTTTGCAGACTACATTTTTAAAATCCTAGTAATTACAGGTTCACCATTGTTCCCAGAAGTGTCTTCAGGCAGAATTTGATTATTTGCAGTTTTAAGTGTCCAAATGTATCCACAAATCAAGCGGGTCTTTCACTATGATATCAACAGAGCCTGCAATTCATTGTTAGTGAAAAATTACACCCTGGCTATGTCTACACTGGCACCCTTTTCCGGAAATGCTTACAATGGAACAGTTTTCCGTTATAAGTATTTCCAGAAAAAGCGCGTCTACATTGGCAGGATGCTTTTCCAGAAAAGCACTTTTCCCGGAAAAGCGTCCGTGCCAATGTAGACGCGCTTTTCTGCAAAAAAGCCCCGATCGTCATTTTCGTGATTGGGGCTTTTTTGCGGAAAAGAAATCTGTGCTGTCTACACTGGCCCTTTTCCGGAACAGTATTCCGGAAAAGGACTTTTGCCCGAATGGGAGCAGCATAGTTTTTCTGGAAAAGCACTGACAATTTTACAGTAGATCGTCAGTGCTTTTCTGGAAATTCAAGGGGCCAGTGTAGACAGCTGGCAAGTTATTCCGGAAAAGCGGCTGATTTTCCGGAATAAGTGGCCAGTGTAGAAACAGCCCCTTAGCTTTTTATGCCTGCAAACTTTCAAATGTAATAATGAGCACCCCATTGAAACTGGGGGGAAATGTGGCCACATGTTATTCCTGGATGTGTAAAGCTTTCAAAGAGGTATTTGCCCCCAAATTAAACCAAAGTCCCATTAATTACTCACAATTTTGAAATGACAAAATCTTCTTTCCACACCTGGAACCTTGAACTAGAAATCACCTTTGCCCACTGAACTGTAATATCTTCTTCTGGAAACTCAGGCTATGTCTACACTGGCACAAGAACACATCCGCACGGCCATGTGCTTTTGCACAAGAGCATCCTTGGCAGTGTGGACGCTCTCTTGCACAAGAAAGCTTTG